GGTAATTCCTACAGGCAAGGTTATCACTGTATGTTTATTTAATAAAAACTAATCTATATACTGTTATTATCTCGAACTGTTTGCCTACTGCTATGTAGTAAAGTGAACTACTACACCTCCACTCCGTATATATTTGCAATAGTCAATCACTATACTGGGTGATTTTGTTACTTGGTTGTATTGTACCAAGAAGGCTGCAACCCTGTAACAGTAGCATTCTAGATTAAAAAAGCATAAAAAAACATGGATACTGTAATGATATAATAGTTTTTCAAATATTATAATGCTTTTACAGTAATTGATAGCTCAAAAAATAATTTAATTTTTGATTTTAAGAAAGTTTCAAATGTAAAAGACATACAATTTAGTGTTGAAAAGAAAGAAAAAAATAGTAAATTATTTTCAAAAGAGATTGAAAATAATTTAGAAAATGAATATTATGAAAATAAAGAGAGAAGTTATATTAATATTTGGAACTAATGTAAGTAAATATTGTAATTTAGTTATTATTAATAAAAAATGAAATGAATTAAAATATTTTATTATTTTATCAGGCTTTTTTATAATATTATTTTGTTTATTTACTTGAATATCAGATATATATATATATATTTTTAGTATTAAGGTAACCTTTTTGGTTCTAGCTTTTTATTAATACTTATATCAAATACATGTTTTATATAAACATATTTATATTAAATTATCAGATAAGCATATAACTAGTTATATGTGTAACTTTTCTATATTACCTATTTAAGAAGTTCATCTGAAGGTTCTCTACCAGTTGCTATACCTAACACTTTTGCTTAGATGTTCTATTTAAACCCTCTAATCTGACTTTAGTATTAATTTTATCAGGTTACAGACTTAGATCTATTTACTTTTAACTATAGAACTATAATTCTTAGACTATTTTTATTCTCAAGTCAAACTTACCAAAGTAAGCCATATTTTTTTTTACTACTAATCTGGTTTGATGCTATGGCTAAGATCAACACTTGCAATCAAAATTACTCATTAAACTGCTATTATTCTTATAAAGTTTATTCAAATTCTAGTATCCATCTTTCTAACTTGTTTTTTATAATTCTCTACTAGCTGCAACTCAAAACCAACAGATTCTCCAAACTTCTAATTCAGATGGCCTAATATGATATACTTATATGTTTCTTTTTTTAGTAATTTCAGCAGCTTGGTTAGTTATATGTTTCTCTACACATCTTGTTATCCAGTTTATCTAACAGTTCTTATAAAGGTGTTTTGTAGACTTTCATTAGTCCAATGGCTTTATTAAAAGTTTATGCTACTTCTTTATTTAGGATTTTCAAGTAAGTTTCTGTTTTCTTAGTTTCTTAGTCTTTTAAGCCTGATGGTTTTATTATAAGTTTGCACTGAAGCCTTATACAATACTAGTTTTTCACATTTTTCTATATATATATAATGTTATACTTCATATAGATGCTCTAAGCTTCCAATATCAGATGGGATCCAACTTGGTATATCTAAGATTACAGATACCCAAAACTCAACTAATTAGCAAGAGACAGTTACTATAACATAGCTATAATTTTTAAAATTTGCTATCTGTGAAAATTGAATCTTAGATCTGCCACTTAAGGATTGACAACCTATTCATTTTATTAGATCATTACACTCTTTACTTCAGACATATATATTAATGTCAATATTCTTATATTAATACATTTTAAAAATTTAAATAAAAAAAAAATTAAATAAATAGATCTTAGAATTGTTAGAGCTTAAAAAAAAAAAGTATTTAAAATTTATTGCATTTATAATGATCATAATACTATTATGATTTAATAAACTACAGAGTGTGGGTCCCATAGCTTAGCAGTTAAGCTTCTATACTCTTTACAGTCAAGGTTAACAGTTCAAGTCTAGCTAAAGGCAAAAATTAAAAGATTTTAGTTTCTGTAACCTAATAAAAAGCCTGTAATTGAATGTAAAGCCCTGTAGTAAAGTCTAAATGCAGTACAATAATAGAAATAAAAATTCTTAGAAGATGACCTAATTGTAGAGTGCAGACACTATATGTAATAAGCAGTTATTACAAAAGGTTATAATTATGAAAATATTGCATATATAAGTTCTTTAGACTAAGACAGCATCAATATTCTTACACCTTCTAATATAGGCAGTACCAACATTCCTGCACTTAACTTGTAGGTACTTGCTTAAAAGACTAATTAATAGATTGTGTAAATAAGTTCTAATTAGGATCTAAGGAGAATATTTAATTAGAAGAGTAATCTGAAAGTAACTAAAACTGAAATGGTAAGAGAAGTAATGAACACAAGAATAGGCTGTGATAAAGGATTGGTCTAACCAAAATTGGAAGCACCTTTGGTATAGCCAAATAATCTAATTATAGAAGAGAAAAATCTTGAAGATTGGCATATAACTTCCTTGTGCAATATAAAGGAACCAAATTAGATTTTGGTCATACCTATATAAAAGTCTATGACAAACAAAACTGAAATCAATTAATTAATATAAAATAAGATTTGCAAGGTAGTATAGCATTACTGAGGTTAGTGTAACTCTTTGAATATAACCAGAATTGTTTTGCAAGTATTATTGAATAAGCTTAGACCTTGCAACATATGATAGTATAATATTACTGAAGTCAGAAGAACTCTTTAGACATAATAAGAATTGTTCTGTTTGTAAGTGCAACAAGTCTTAGTTCCTATTATAGAAGGGAGCATTATGTTGAAGATTAAATACAACACTGAATTACTGTATAACATTAAGACCTAGAATATCTGCAGAAATAGCAGTAGCAGATCTGGCTTAAGATACAGATTGGTTAAAAAACCAATAGTAGTAGCAGGTCTAGCTTAAGATACAAGTTTATTTCAGATCCTTTATTATTGTTAAAACATCTTAGGAAAACCAATAACAGACATACTAAAGATAGAAGATTATAAGGATCAGATATATTCAAATAGAACCAATTTAGAAGTAGTACATTGGCAAAAAGATAAAAAATTTAGAGAACAAAGTAATACTAGATATAATTAGATTAGAAGACAGAAGAAATAAAACTAAGTAAAACATGTGAGTAGAACACATAGGTACAATTTACAAAAGACAATATTCCTGATATTTGGAATGTTATATTAAGTTTAGAAGATATCTTGTTTATATAATAGTTTAATAATATGCTCTGACTACAAGTAGTTATCAAGATAACTGTATACAGATATGTGACAGACATGCACTTAGATGCCATAAGGGTAACTATGTAAAGTCAGTGATATAAAATTAGATAGTATATAATATTAGTAATAATTAATTCTAAAATGTAACTATAAATTTGTACTATATCAAAATTAAAGCTAATAAACTAGACCTATAGATCAATAGTAAAGTAGTTATGCTCCCAGGTCACCAATCACAAGGTTGCTAGTTCAAGTCCAATGGGAGACAAAACTGAGTTAGGATCATGATTGTTAATTAATCACATCTAATAGCATATTACAAAAATAAAAAGATCTTTGGTATCTAGATTCTTAAATGGTGACAAACTTAATATAAGAAGGCTACAATAATTAAGAGGCTAAGGATAATAATAGAACAAAGAAATCTCTAATTAGAAATAATCTTAGTAAAATTCTAGGGTAATAAGAACACAAAATCAATATATATATAGTACTATAGAATGTATATAAATAAAAATATAAATGTAAAATATAAATAAAGTCCTAATAGAAGGTTTTGTAAATTTGAAAAAATTTAAACTAATAAAACAGTTGCTAGCTGTGGCCTACTAGTGATCATGCAGTAGAAAATTAAAAAAAAAGCTAATAAACTAATTGACATTGTTGTCAAACTTTAAAAAAAAAAAATTTAATAAACTACAAGAGTTAAGTAACATATATAATAAATATAAGTTTTATCTAATAATTCTTCAATGTTCTACATATTGGTCTTATAAATCATATTATTAAATATAATAAATTTGTTTTTAAAAGTAATATAAAATATTTTAGCTTAATTATAGATTTACAAACCAAGTAGTTTTGTTTTTTTCTTTATAATATTTGGTATTGATCATTAAAATATTCTTATTATTAATAAATAATAAGAAGTTAATTTTTTCTACTAATCTAGAAAAGTTAGTAACTTTTTTCAGTTTCAAAACTGAAGATTTTTTGAAACATATATATAAATACAATAAATGAATTGAACTTGTATATTAAAATAACAATAATATTAAATCTAGTAAATGCATAACTTATTGAAATTATAAGAATTAACTCTTTTATAGCTAATTGAATTATATTTATTATTTGAAACTACAAGCATTCTTTTATATACTATCTTCTTTATTAATATATATTACTTTATTTTTATATGCATACTTGAAATTATATATAATTAAACAAAAGAATATAAATACAACATAATAGCATATAAATATAAATTACAATTGAAATATTTAATATAGCATTATTAGTTACAATGCATAGTAAATATTCTTTAGAATACTGGTATTTTTTTATAGTTAAATTACTTTTATTTTATTTTTATTAGTATAGTAATATCTGAAAATTAATTAATATTTATAAGTTTTAACTTTAAAAAATATTTAAGTACTAATTAAGTTTTATAAGCTTCAACTTTGAAAAATACCCAGGTACTAAGCATAGTTAAGTTTTTATATATAATAAATAATATCTAAATCTTAATTAAAAAGGATACTTTATACAATATTTTACAGTAGTATATATATATAGAAAAATATAAAAACTAATATTATATAAGATTTAGATACAAACTTGTAATAAGACTACTAGATGTAAAGATTAAAAAACTAAAAAGACAGAAACCTACTTAAAAATTCTAAGTAAAAAAATAGTACAAACTTTTAACAATAATATTAAACTAACAGAAGTTTAAATAATATCTTTAAAAAGATAAATAAATAAACTAAATAATAAGATATTTAGAGAAGTATATAACCAACTAGTCTATTAGAATTAGTAGAAAAAAAAATATATAAGTATATTATACTAAGTTATCAGAATTAATAGTTTAAAAAATTTTATTAAACCTAAATAATAGTTAGTAAAGAATAATAAAAAAGATATCAAAAAAATGAATACTAAGATTTAAATAAATTTTATAAAGATATAGTAATTTAATGATTAGTTTAAACCAAATCAATATTAGGTTTATATATAAGAATAAAATTATTTTAAAAAGATTAAAACTAAAACTAAATTTAAAACCAAAATTGTTTTGATATACTTTTATATAAAAAATAAAATTTTTTAATGTTTTTTTTTTAAATAGATGAAATTATAAAAAATATAAATATATAAATTAGATTTACTCTTTCTTATAAAAAAATTTAATTTGTTCTAATAAAGATAAAATAGATTTTTTTTAAAAACTTATTATAATATATATAACTGAATTAGTTGTAAGTATAAAATACAAAAGACTCT